AATTAATAGTATGACCACCTGGCCACCTGTTTTAATGAAGGATGTTATTGGACTAGAAAAATGTATAGACAGGAAGCTACAATATTAATAAGGAAATTGAAAGATGAAAATTATGAAATGCTTGACAACTTGCTTAAAAGACACCTTAGAGGGGGGCTGGCTGCCCATTGAGTGAGCTCCTGCAACGACTCACTAACTAAGCCTGAATTACAGGCAGCCAGCCCACAAAACTCACAGAACTCAGCTGCATTTCCCTCACAGCAGGCCCGGGGGAAGCTCTAGATACCAGAGCACCTTACCTTGGGATATTCCTCACAAAGATCCTACTGCGGCCCAGCATTGCAGACGGACAGGTGAGGTGGCCAATCGCCCAGACCCTGCTGCGCTGCAACAGGTGGGACCTGCCACAAACCCTGTTCTCCCAAAGACACAAGGTGCGGAAGTCCCGCAGACCCACACCATGGCAGAAGGAACTCATCCATGGCCCTCACAGACCTGGAAACTGGAAGGGTGAAGTGAGAGCGGAGGTACCATACCTGCCAAGGCATGGACTTTCAAAAGGCCTGAAGGGACTACCACTACAGGGAATTGGCTGAAAGCCAAGCTAACTCAAAAGGATGTCTCACCAAATGGCTGAGATCCAGTGACAACTGAGAATACCATCTACTGCAAATGTTATGTTTTATTTCAGCCTGTTGCCCTTTTATCTTACTTTATTTCATTAACACTGTGCCATTATACCACCCCCCTGGTTAAGCTCATTAATACAGCCATTAATGCATATACGGTAGCCTCGAGGTCACCTACCAACCAATATGGCCCCAGTGGTTTAAACTTGCCACTAACCTATCAGCTTAATACCATAAGCACACATAGAGAGTGCTAAACTTGTAGAGCAACCTGTTATAAACCTCAACTTCAGTTCAGACAAGTATATTTTTGTTATATTGCTTTTGACCCTCTTTGCCCTATCTCCTAAATCGACTAACAGTAACACCATGTTGATAGTCTCTCTAGCAACACCAATCTACCTAGTCTGTCCAAACTAATCTCTGCAAGACTATCTAGCCTGTGATATCCTGTTAGTGGCATGTGAGGTTTATATTAATCTATTCTAAATGTCTAGCCAGATAAATCTAGTCATTAGCATGTCTATTACATAGTAACTTTATCCTGAACAACTAGCCTGCAATATTCTATCTTCTTAATATTATAAAATGTGTCAGCCAAGATTAGGAGTATAATCTGTTATGCGTTGATAAACCCGTTATATGTCTACCTGCTTTAACTCCTTTTTTCTTATTCTGTAAACTGTGAATCAAATACCACAATAAAAGAAAGATTGACAAGAAAAATAAAAAATAAAGACACTTTAGAGCTGATATGATAACATTATACAAAGATATATAGAGTTGGAACAGACAGCTCTCTGGTAACCTTTTCATTAATAGGACTGTACAAATTATAAGTGGTCACCCAATTTGACTTAAAGAAAAGAGATGTCACCTATGGCAGAGGAAATGGTTCTTTACAGTGAAAACAAGACGTGGAACTCTGCCTAAAGAGGTTATCTTACAAGATTCTGTAATGAATTTTTTTATCACCTGGTTTTGGAAAAAACTAAGTATTTAAGGATACAATAGTTAATATTTTAAATCTAAGATAATTGATCCAAAGAGACATCTGACTACCATTTTGGAGTCAAGAAGGATTATTTTGCATTTTGTGACAAAGACCTTGATATAATATTTTTGGATAAGCTTTTCAAAGTTTGACATTTTTTCAAATTGTTTTTTTTTTGATCATCAGCAGTAACATAGAACTTGATGGAGCTTGATTTTTTTTTTCACCCTGTATTACTCTGTAACCACTGTAGGAACTAACCGGGCCCATCACTCCAGGGGGTCCGGTCGCCATGTCGACCCCTGTGACCAGGGTGCCCGCCAGCATTTTGGTGCGGCCCCGACCGTGTGGAAAAACCGCCGGCCCGCACTGATGGAGCCCATCGGGCGGCCCATGGTCTTGGGGCCAACCGATGGCAATGGATTTCCTGGGGCCCGGTCAGCGCTGCGGCACTTTAAGAGCGCGACCGGTCCCCAGTGGTGATGTCAGAGCTGGGAGGAAGCCATCACTTCCTCCCAGCCAACACAGCACCGTGCAGGAGGAGAGGAGGGAGTCAGAGTGGGAGCTCTGACTCCCATCAGCATGATGCAGTCACTGGACCCCAGGTAAGTCACTAAAAAAATTTTAACAGTTGATGTGTGTGATAGAGAATGTCTGTATCAGTATATCTGTGTGTGTGTCTGTGTGTGTGTCTGTATGTGTATGTCTGTGTGTGTTTTTGTATATCTGTATGTGTGTGTGTGTCTGCATGTCTGTGTGTGTGTGTCAGTATATATGTGTCTGTGTGTATGTGTGTGTCTGTATGTATGTGTGTGTCTGTCTGTCTGTATGTGTCTCTGTGGGCATGTTTGTGTTTGTATGTATGTGTGTCTGTCTGTATGCATGTATATGTGTGTGTCTACATGTCTGTGTGGGGGGTTGTATGGGGTGGGGGGTAGATGTATGGGGGTGGGCATGTATGGGGCGGGGGTAGATATATGGGGGGGACCCGGGGCAATTTTTGCACCGGGGCTCCGTTGTTTCTAGTTGCGCGTTTGTCTGTAACACTAACTTCTAGAAGTATATTGATTTTATTCTAATTAGCAACCCCCAATATGTGGTGTGATAATGGTTTTTTAAATTTTGTCCCAGGAATAGAAAAGTACGTATAAATCTAGTAGTAGTGATAATAGAAATAATACTTAGCCTAATACTCATTTTCCTTTCATTCAAAAATGTCATACTTTGCACATTATCCCTATTTAGCTGATTACTAGTCATTTTATTACTATATTTTTTTAGTCTTACATAGAAATGTCATTTTTTGGTTCAACTTTTTAGTGGTTTCAATATTACGCAGCATCATTGTTAACATCGTGGTTAACACAGTGAGGGAGTTTAAGCATGCGTGGGCTAGGCATAAGGCTATCCTAGACTTACGATAAGGCCAGGGACTAATGAAAGTATTTAGAAAATTTGACCAAACGTTTCTTATCTATGTTTTATATTTCATAAAATCTCATCTTAACTATATTCATGTCAGATAAATATGATTCTAACCTGGGTTTCTCTTAATACTATAGTTTTTTAGTTTGCTTTACAAAATGTTTACAAAAGCTTACATTTATTGGTTTAATGTTTGTTTTTATATTGTCATTTGCATGTTTAAATCATCCATTCATTTACAAGTTAATGCTTTTTTAAATAGTTTTGCCTTCTGATTTATTTAACTTTTTTATGTGATTGCTAATAATTCTTTTCTTCTCTCTTACTGTTTTAATGGTTTTAAAAGAATTAAGGTGCAGGAGGACTTTCCATTAAACATTGTTATTTCTAGTTTTTTGTTTTTGTACTTGTTTTTGTTTTTTTTAAACAAACATCATTATAATGTTAAAATATTTAAAGGTTTTGCCAACCATTACAAATATAGTGTTATAACCAAGTTATCATAACTTCTGCCTTTGGCATTGATGCAGATCTTCTTAAAAGAAGATAGCACCGGGGAGATATGGAAGGCTATCAAGTAAAACAAGCATGTAAAGATTATTTATTTTATATTTTATTGCTTCTTGGCATTTTTTGATATCTATCTGTCTTGCTGTTATATTTGCCTCTTTTTTTTTTTTTTTTAAAAAGGGTGAGGTCTAGGACCAATAACCGCTATGGTGGTTATGTTGCCAGGAATCCCCTAGCTCCATGCTTCTTTTTCTGATATTGCTAATTAGCAATCTGCCCACTAATAAGGGGCTTTCTTGGAAAGCTGATACTAAATATATCGCACCAGTGCAATTTGCAAGCCAGAAATAGTGGGGTCAAAATGGGCTGATCCTAAAAAGTGGAATGTAGTCAATAAAGAAATCAAGATTAGTGTATTTAAAGTATCTCTCCTCTAACTGTGGCTGAAAATGTAGACTTACTTATTTAAAAAAAAAAAAAAACATAATAAGAACATCATTTACCAAAACAAGCAGAACAGTTATAAAACAAATGTGTCAAAGGCAAAAAATAAAAATAAAGAAAATGTGTTCAAGTACTTTCCTGATAACATGCATCTGATCTGTCTGGGAAAAGGAAAATCAAACATTTTTTGAAAGTATTTAAAGGTTTGTCTAGCAATTGCTGTTAGTTAATCCATCAGCCTGTTTTCTTAAAGTTTATTAATCACCAGTGTGATAAGAGGGTGGGGATTTGTAATCAAACAGTTCCACACACATGCCTTGCAGCTATGATTCATTATTGTTACAAACGCTTCTTGCCTTGGACATTTGCCACAAATTCATGGAGGAGTGTAGAAGCTGGCCTCCTGCCCACCGACTATGGGCCATATACAAAGACTCTGTTCAGGAGTTAAATCTCCCTGACAGGGGCGGACTGAGAACCCTCAGGGCCCCCGGGCAAAATAAATCAAGGGCCCCCTTACAGGCCCCACCCATACTCTGCAGCAAGCGCCACCCTTGTCCCGCCTCCAGCCACACCCTACACAATCTTTAGACACAAGGAACACAATAATGACTACTTGCTAAGCCATGGATGCTATCTCATTAGAGAGTGTGTTAGAAAGAATCCCCTAGGCCCCATTAGAAACGTCTAATGGGGCCTGGAGGGTTGTCTCTCCAACACTCTGGTTTCTATTCACAATATAGCAACACAACATAGCTCGCTGATACCTAGGCCAATTACCTTAATTACTGTTGCTGGCTGGAGGCAGGCTGTGGGCTTGCTGGCTACTAGCAGGCTGTGGGCTTGCTGACTGCGGCTGGCAGGCTGTGGCTTGCTGGCTGCGACTGGCACCGACTGTAGGCCTGTGGGCTGGCTACTGGCCTATAACTACTGGCCAGCCTGTGGGTTGGCTGGCTGGCTACTGGGGCACTTGTAAATTATTTAAAGAAATAATCTATGCACAATAACCACTACTGCTCCAGAGTAAGTAGTCAAACCATTTAAGAACAGTTTGACAACTTACCTGGGATCTGCTGGGATATGGGGCTGTAGTAGGGAATAGGAGCAGTGGTGCAATGTGTGTGAAAGGTTCAGTGTGTGTGTGTGGGGGTGTAGTGTGTGAATGTGTAGGGTGTGTGGGCTGTGTATGTGTGTGGCAATGTTAATATGGGGGGCTGTGTATGGGGGTCTGTGTGTATATGGGTGGGCAGTGTATGTGTGTGTGTGAGGCAATGTGTGTAAATGTGTATGGTGTGTATGGGGGCAGTGTGTGAATGTGTATGGTGTGTGTGTGGGCTATTCTAGAGTTCACTCTCACCACTGCGACCACCAGGAATCCCTGGGGGTCACAGTGTTGAGAGTGAACACTAGACCGTAGCTCCAGGGCTAGAGCTGACTCTCGCAAGCCAAACCCGTTGCCATGGTAATCGCGGCAACGCTCTGTGCTCGTGCAAGAAGGACCCAGAGGAGCTGCAGGGTGAGTTCCCAGGTCCTCTCTTCCTCCCTCCCCTGCCCGCATGGTGCCTGTTTTCAGGCATGAGGTGACTGGCAATTGCCCTGACAATTTGGTTGGATCCACCAGTGATATCTACAGCCCTTCTGTGTGCCTTTTTGTGGAGGGAAGGTGCTCTGTATGTAAGGGGAACCCCCCTCCTTCCCAGTCTCTCTTACCCCTCTGCCTCTTTCTCCCTCTCTTCCACTGTTTTTCTCCCCCCTTTCCCTGTCTCTCTCTCCCCCACATCTCTCTTCCTCTCTGTCTCTTTCTCCATGGTTAAACCCTCCCTATCCCCCCTCTTTCTCCCCAAAGTATGTCTCATTCTTCCCTCGTTGTCTCTTTCTCCCCCTCCCCATCTCTATATTCCCCCTCTTTCTCCCCCTGTGTCTCATTCTTCCCCCTCTGTCTCTTTCTCCCCCTCCCCATCTCTCTATTGCCCCAAAATACAGATTATGGAATAGCACACACATAAGAAAAATACAGTTTTAAATTTTACAAAGCTACGTAAAATCACCTATCTCAGCAAACAAATATGGGAAGTCAATCCTGGACTGGTAGGGGTGCCTCGAGGACTGTAAATCACCGTTATAGGTGAAACTCACGTCAGGACAATTATTTTGAGTGTGGGAGTTTCCGTGTTGACAAGGGCACAATGCTGCTTCCAGCTATTCTGTTTAATTACAAGATGGATTAGACTCCACACTAGTTTATCTTTTTAACTCTTAAGTGAGTCTTTTATCTCTTTATGTATTTTGTTGGTGTGTGTTTACCCATTAATTAGTTCTTTTTGGGGTTGTGGGGGTTAATTATGGGGTACCCTTGTTGGCATCGATTAGGGCTATTATACATTGTTTTAGTTTTCTACTTACTATGTTTTACTTTTAACCCATTGAGTACACTACTTAGTAGATATGTTCATCTTTGCACACTATTCTATTACAAAGGTGTTAATCAGTATGCTACATTAAGATCAATTAGATTACATTAAATTCTCTAAGTATCTATCTTGTTTGATACATGTTTAGGATAGTTTTAGAGCTTGACAGCTCATTCTAGTATTCTAGTATATATACTATGGCCACCATGACCACTTCAGTAATTTGAGGTTGACATGGTGCCTGGAGTTGTGTTAATACAATAAAATGTAATTCTTCACGTAATGGTCTGCCCTGAATTGAGCAGGCCAGAGTCCCTGTCTGCACTCACCACATGCTAACATGTCCCCTTACCATTTTATAGAGGGGACATGTCAGTGCCCCCTTTCTGGCCCGATCCCCTGCACATCAAACTTCGATAAATATAGTTTCATGTAATACTCTGAGTTAAAAGGTTTGGTGTAACATTGTGATTTATAGAACACATTAGAACTTAGCGTATGGTATCGGGCTGGTTTTAGGAGGGACTTAAAGACCAACTGTCATCAAATTGCAACTTTTTGTTTTTATTAAACATTTATTAAAACATAACAATATATATTTTTAAATAATACATATTGATTTTTTTTTTAAGAAAACTTCACTTTTTTTATCTGGCCAAACAGCCTTATTAGGTCAAATTGCTTTGTGTGACACTGACCCAGCAGCAGGTGGTCAGATAACACTAGAGTCTGCCCCAACATGGCTGCTCAGCCAGATAGAAAAGTAGAATTTTCGTAAAAAATCAATAAACATCATTTAAAAAAAAAAAAAGAGGTTGGGAGGAGGAGCCTAAACCTTCATGGTGACAGATGCATGAGCCCTTAGCTCTCCGACCCCGGGATTGCAATCAGCCGCCATCAGCGCTCACATTCAGGCATCTCGCCACCAAACACCCACCGACATCCCCTACTCACCTTACCTACCCCCCTGCACCATGGGAGGCACGAAAAAAAGAAGGGATACCACCCCGTCCGTGGCCACACTGTTCCGCGGGAAAGAGGATGGGCGGCCATCTTTATCACAAGGCCACACAGAAACAGGCTCCGACTCGGACGAATATGAGGCCACGGAACGGCATGCTACCCCCCTCACGAAAGAGGACCTTAAGAAGATGCTCAAGGAGACATCCGACGACATCAAGGCCTACACAACGGCCGCCCTGGAAAAACAAATCGCAGGCCTCAAGGACGATATAGAGGCCCTGGCCTCACGCACTAGCCGCGCAGAGACTCAGATTAAAGAAACACAGGACACGGCAAAGACACATGCCAGAGACATAGAGGCTATGCAAGAAAAGATCCTGTACCTGGAGGATGGCTTGGAAGACCTAAATAACAGGTCACGGAGGCTAAACATCAGGATACGGGGCCTACCTGATTCAGTCCTACCTGAGACACTACTACCCACCGTCCGATCTTCCACTCCCTCCTCCCGGACACATCCGAACAGGAACTCTACATCGAGCGGGCCCATAGAGCCCTGCGCCCCCCAACATTCAACACGAATGCTCCCAGAGACATCATAACCAAACTCCTATACTTCCCCATCAAAGAGAGGCTCATGAAGGCCGCGCGGGACAACCCGCCAACGTACCAAGGCCAAACCTTGCATTTCTACCAGGACCTGTCACCGACCACGTTGCAGAAGCGCCGGGAACTCAAGCCTCTAACTACCGCGCTTGTGGAGAAAGGTTGGCGCTACACGTGGGGACATCCCTTCAAACTCCACGTCAAGAAGGAAGAGCAGACATACACTCTCCACCAAGTCATGGATATGCAAGACTTTGCCCAATACATAGGACTCCCACTACGCCAACCAGCCCAGGATACTGACTCCTCCACACCTGCAGGGGACAGCCGTCATGGCGAACCGTGACCTCGTCCTCTCAGACAACAGGCCAAACCGAGACCCCCAACCACCACCAAGGGATAAGCGCAAACGGACACATGAACTTGGGCGCACGCCTGCCACGAGGCCTTCCTGCTAAACCACACGGGTCCCCCGTGACCCTCTTCAGTTCATAGCCGTAAAGTATTAAGTTTGCAAAATTTATTAAGCTTATTGTTGGATGTTTATGTTCGAATCCCGCATGCGCAGTGTACACCTTAGCACCTCGGGAACACCTTAGCGGCATGACAGTAGCACCCACCCGAGCCATAATCATTCGGGCCTCCCCCCAGCCCCACTCGCGGCCGCAGGCCATAAGAAAGCCATTAAGGATAGGGAACATAACCAAGAGCGCCCCAAGCCTTCAAAACCAGACCCGAAAGCTTGCCCAGCGGCCACATACCAACCTAACGTTAGCCACATAAGAGGGGATAAATTGAAGGCGCAGTATGGGGAACAGGAACCACCGGTTTGCTAGGCGGGCCCACGCAAGCGCAAACAAGGGGCCACATACAACGCACAATGCTTATTGTAAGGATATAAATGCTACTTTTCACTGTGACTGTCCCCCTGAACACCTTGAAGACCCACCAGCCCTGCTAACAATTACGCCCCCAAACATAACAGAAACGAGGGCTCCACCCTCTACACACAGCACCCGCCCCTTCCGGCTCACCAGGCAACCCGCCGAGCCAATCACCAACCCACCCTGTTCCCGACGACATTCTTAGACCACAGCTACCGGCAGCACTAAAAACCCACCGAGGCACCCCCTATGCTGCACCACCTAGAGGGTGATACCACTGCCCCCTAGGGACAACCCGGAGACAGACCCAGACCCGGACAAAACCCCCACAACACCAGCAATACGAAGACGGGGGACCCCCCTCACAGACATCTACTTACAAACTGAGGTGCTGAAGGCCCTCACCGAACCTGAGCCACTCCACTCGAGGTTCCGTGAGTAAATCCTAATATTTATTATTTCACATCATAATAGTGAAGATTTACTTGCATTACAACCTGAGACGCTTTTCATTTGCTAGACAACTAACCTTGAATTAGCACCAACATAACAAAGGTTCAGAACATGAAGGGGTGAACTAGAAAGACCTGTTGCCCGCACCCTGCATGGTACCCCTAGACCCTCTCACTGGGGCCAGCACCTCTCTGGATACACGGTCAAACGCAAGCAGATACCACCAAAGCACCCCAAGACCAGGCCGACATGACCACAAACCCCACAACCAAGACACTCCACCAAACCACTACCGCATTATACACACCGCAGAAACGGGAGCGGGCAAACCCCCCACCGCAGTCACAGAGAGGCAACAGCTAAGTCAGACCAACACACGGGCATCTGTTTCGCTCCAAGACCAAAGCCCCACCACCCATAGAGACGGCACACGCCCCATACAAGCAACACCCACCCTAGCCACAACCTAAACAACTAATCACCATGAACCCCATCTGACACAGACTCCGGGACACAATGCCCACTACTCGACCTCTATACGCACAGATCTAAGGGGGACAGAGCTCTAAGCCCCACACCGACACGTAAGGCGACTGACACACACAGGACACGCCCGGCCACACAAGCACAACCACACAAGGTGGAGGATCGCCCACCAGGACAACAGCCCCTTATACACTCGACCCATCCACAACACCATGAGAGGACTATACGCACCCCCACTCGACGGCACACCATGTCAATCCGCACCACACCAGACAAGATGACCACCCCATACAGTACCCCCAACCCCGAGACGCACACCAGACCACATGGGGGACTCACCCCCCACCTCACCACACACGCCAGTGAGATGCATCACCCGAACAATCCTGGGGGGGACAGCGTCTGACACACCGGACGTCTTTACCCCATGACCCCCCACAAACTTTATACTTTCGGTACTCCCCCCAATCCAACC